TCATATACATTATCATATATATTTTTAATATATATCAAAATCAATTACAATTGTTTCAATTCAAATTCTATGAAAAATCTATTAAAATCTCTTCGATCTAAATTACATTGATAATCAATACACAATCAAAATTTCCATCACAGATTTAAACATCAAATTCCATCATATTATAATTTAAACTTCCATCGAGAATTTGTCACAAAATATTGCGCGTTCAAATTTTAATAATAAAAAATCTTTTCTTCTGCAAATTAAAATTGCTTCCAAAACTTGTCGCAATTTAACAATAATCGAGTACAGGCCGAGTATGCATATCGGCCAGCGATCGAGTGACATTTTCAATTTTTGCTCCCCCATTTTTCCGCGGGGATGGAAACGGATGCGGCAAGGGGGGCGGCGGTTGAAGAGGGGACTCGCGAAAGGGTTCGCCGCGTGCCGGAGTTTCGAGTGTAATTTAATTTGAAATGCAGACTGACACACAACGACGTTTCGGGTTAAACGGATTAAAGCGAGGACGTGCGACGCGCGTTAAACACCCCTGCAGCTAATTGCGAATCCCTTAATTGCCCGCCGCGGAAAAGTATTCCACGGGCGACCACGGGATATTTCTAGGATTCGTCGTTGCCCTTCGCCGCCGTTCCTACGCGAGCAATTCATTCAAGGTAGAATAAAGGCGAATTAGTAAAACAAACTCGTCCGCGACGAATTTCGTGATCCCGGCCGGCCGGGTGGCATAATTCGCTCGTTGAATTAAAAAAAAAAGAAAAGAACAAACAAAATGGACGCATGATGTGTGCGCTCTAATCGAGGCTGGGCTAACACTCTCGATCTATGGCATATCTAAATATTATGCTATTATATTATAGTATATTATAATATTATACTATTATATATGATAATATTATACTATTGTGTATTATAATATTATACTATTATATATGATAATATTATACTATTGTATATTATAATATTATACTATTATATATTATAATATTATACTATTATTATATTATAATATTATACTATTATTATATTATAATATTATACTATTGTATATGATAATATTATACTATTATTATATTATAATATTATACTATTATTATATTATAATATTATACTATTGTATATTTTCAAATAATATAATATATAAATATTATACTATTCATATAAATAATTACGTATAATTATCGTTAAATGCATATACATTCTAAATAAATTACATACAATTATTATTAAACGCATATACATTATAAATAATTAGATACAAGATTATTAAATACATACACAGTATAAATAATTACATACAACGATTATCAACATTAAATTGAACGAACATTAATACAATATGAATACTAATATATTAAATAAACATATTAATATGCAATTCATCTTGCAGTCAAATTAATTCGCAAAATATTTAAATAATACAAATTTAAACGATCCTGAATCGTCGACGCGATAATAAAAAAAGCACAAAAGCTCAAACATCATGAAATCCCACCCCTAATTCGAACGTTCGATCGACTCCGTTCCTAAATGCGCTGTCTCGTTCGTTTATCTTCGCTATTCCGCCATCAAATTGGCGGAACGCGCGCTTTCCAGCAAGTCGCAGGACTTATAACGAAGCCAATCGGAAGCAATTCGGCTGGCAGAAACAGCAAAACGAGGAGGCAGAGAGCGTCGTCGTCGCGACGCGTCCGGGGAAAGGCTCTCGCCGGAAAATTACGGACGCGAAACGGCGGCGTTTCCGAAGTGTTTTCGCCCCTCTCTATGCGCGCGTGTCGCGCAATTATTTACAGCTTTATCCGGCGGAAATCCGCGCGACTCTATAACGAATTCGCCGGACTTCTTAAAACCGGGGCAAATCGCCCGCTCGCGGATCCCTCGAAATCCGCCGCGCGCGCTCGACGCCGCAGCGTTCGGCGGAATCGTCGCGCGGAATAATCGATAAACGATTCGCGATAGCCGTAAACTCGCTCGCGTGCCGGACCGGTGCGTCGCCAAATAAATCAAACCGAGCCGTCGATTGAGGCTCGCCGATTCGTATAATCCGCGTCGTATCCCTCTAAACGCCGGGGGTGAAAAGCGTGAAGGGGTCGCCTGGTACACGTACTCGGCGAGAACTGTGGACGCTGACGAATCGCTGGTAAAAAAAAGGAAGGGAAAAACAATGAGCGAAAAAAAGAGTTGAAATTCGAGGGAAGAACGGAGCTCTGAATCCGTCAGCATCGATCAGAGCGACCTGTCCACGGAAAATGCGGACGGATCTCTCGATTCGCCGGGTAATCCCGTTCGATTATCTCTGATTAAATGTCCTGGAAACGAGAGTTCGTCGAAAATTGCTTCGAGGATTTTTTAATCGAGCATTATAGTCGGTTGTTATGGTCGCGGAAGTATATTTGACAAATTTGTTTATATTCGTATTATTATTTAACTTTGTTGTATTTATATTGTTATTTAACGTTATTTGTTATATTTATATTGTTATTTAACTTTATATTATATTATAGTATTATATATATTGCAGTATTATATTATAGTATTATATTACTGTATTATATATTGCAGTATTATATTATAGTATTATGTTACAGTATTATATTATAGTATTATATTGCAGTATTATATTATAGTATTATATTACAGTATTATATTATAGTATTATATTGCAGTATTATATTACAGTATTTTATTACAGTATTATATTCCAATATTATATCACAATATTATATTATAGTATTATAGTACAGTATTATATTACAATATTATATTGCAGTATTATATTACAGTATTATATATTACAGTATTATATTACAGTATTATATTACATTATTATATTCCAATATTATATTGCAATATTATATTACAGTATTATATTACAGTATTATATTACATTATTATATTCCAATATTATATTGCAATATTATATTACAGTATTATATTACAGTATTATATTACATTATTATATTCCAATATTATATTGCAATATTATATTACAGTATTATATTACAGTATTATATTACATTATTATATTCCAATATTATATTGCAATATTATATTACAGTATTATATTACAGTATTATATTACATTATTATATTCCAATATTATATTGCAATATTATATTACAGTATTATATTACAGTATTATATTACATTATTATATTCCAATATTATATTGCAATATTATATTACAGTATTATATTACAGTATTATATTACATTATTATATTCCAATATTATATTGCAATATTATATTACAGTATTATATTACAGTATTATATTACATTATTATATTCCAATATTATATTGCAATATTATATTACAGTATTATATTACAGTATTATATTCCAATCTTATATTACAGTATTATATTGCAGTATTATATTTTAATATTATATTACAATATTATATTCTAATATTATATTTATTGCAATATTATATTACAATTTCATATTTCAATATTATATTGTAGTATTATATTACAATATTATATTACAATATTAATATTATTATAATACACTCTTAAAACATTATGCGGAAACGGCGAAATCTCGTTCGCAAAATGTTTAATTATAATCGAATAATACCATAAACATTTTACTTTTATTTTACGATAATTCATCGCACAGAGCTACTAATTGCACGCGTTTCTTCGTAAATAAATGACGAGGTACATGCTAATGTCTCCCTAACTGACGCTCAGATTGCTCAGAAAAATGGACAATTTGGGAATAGTAGATACGATTGTTCGAGCCCTGCAGCTCGTTCTTATTTATTGTTGACAATTCCTAACTATAAAAACGAATCGCGAGGCTCGAATAATCGTATCTCCTCCTCCAAAATTGTCTATCTTTGTGGACAATCCGAGCGTCAATTAGAGGTAGACGTTACTGTAACGGGTTAAGCAACACCGACGAAGCTATCTTCGACGCGAATTAAAAAGAACCCGCGAAACGGCGAATTCCGGCGCGCTATCGCGAGCGAGCAAGTGGACAAAGAGTCGCATCTCCACGAATATGGAAATCCGGAACCCCTTAAGCCGCAATTCCGGGGGCGTAAATCCTCCCTAGCCGTCATACAATACACGCTAATGCCGCATTATACGGTCGCGCGGCGAACGGTCCTCGGTTATCTCAATTTGCAGCCGATGCAACCCGGCCATCGTTTATTTAGTCCTCGTTTAATCGCGCCCCCGACTTCGCCGTCCGTTCCTACCCTAATCGTTTTTTTCAGTCCTTTTTCGCAGTTCCGCGTCCTCTTTCCTGTTGCATCTAGACATTATTTAATCCCCTTTTTCAGACGATCGTTTCTCCATCCCCCTTTCACCCCCCCCCCTCGTTTCTCTCGTTCTTCCTATCTGGTCTTTTTATTAAAATTGTTCGATGGTTCTCGCGAATCTCGGACGAAAATGCTGCAGGTTTTAACCATTTGCGCTCGGGCGGTGATTCTGAGGCATCGCTAATTTTATTAATTATTGTTATGTCACGTTCTATGGTAATTTTTATGTTGACGAAATTTCGATTGTAATGAATTGTCGGAAGTGTAACTACTGCTGTTGATATTGATGATACATTATTGATGATGATTGTTGATAATAATCACAGTTTTCGGGGATCTTGTTATTAATATTGATAATAATGCTATAATTGATATTGATTGCTATTGATAATAATAATAATAAATTATTGATAATTATTATTGATAATAATCCCCGCCTTAGGGGATTTTGTTGAAGATTTTCCCTTGCTAAAATTGTAATTATTATTATTATCATTATTATTGACAATAATGCTATAATTGATATTGATTGCTATTTATAACAATAATAAACTATTTATAACAATTATTAATGATAATCCCCGCTTTCGGGGATCTTGTTAAAGATTCTCCCCCGCTATAACAACCCCCTAAAAATTATTATTATTATTATTATCATTATTATCGACAATATTAATAAGAATATCGATAATATCAATAATAATATTGATAATATTATACTGATTGCTATATCGACGATAATAATAAACTATTGATAATAATTAATCACCGCTTTCGAGGATCTCGTCGACGATTTTCCCTCCGCTCTAAAAACCAACAAAATTATTATTATTATTATTATTATTATTATTATTATCATCATTATTATTATCATTATTATCGTAGCGAATAAACGGATTGTCATAATTTTCAGAGCGAGGAGTCGCTCTCCTCGGAGGGCTCGGCGACCTCCGGTGGATCTTCGAGCTCCACGGAAGATTCTGGCAGCGAGGTCGCCTGCGACATCACTCTGATCGAGAGGCTTATACGGTCCCATCCGATCTGGTTCCTTCCTGGCATCCAAAGGGCCGGCGCTTTCCACTTGTTGCAAGGCAAAGAGGAAGGGGTGAGTGCACTTTAAAAGCGAATCGATTAGGCGTAAGAAAATCGACCAGGCCTCTCTCCGACAGAGAGAGAGAGAGAGAGAGAGAGAGACCGTGTGTATTTCCACGGTCGAGCAACGAGTTTTCCGCGGAAGTGGACGAACGACGATCGCTAAAGGGGCCATCGTTGCGGAAAATTTCACCATCGTTGCGGCTTTTCCACCGCAGCGGGGCTTCTGGGAAATCCTGCTGCCCCGTTAGAGGGTATCTTTACGTTCGTGGCTCTGCGTTGCAGAGACTCTCTCTCTCTCTCTCTCTCTCTCTCTCTTTCTCTCTCTGCTTTAATTATTTCTACGAGGTTAGGTCACTTGTTCTTTTGTCATCGAGAATTGGCGACCCACAGTGGAGTGTTTGACCTCGAAAATGAACAGAAGGTCGATTTAATTAATTTGTTTAACTCGGCTTAACGAGAATTGGCAGAGGATAATATACATAAAATATTATTTTTCTTTTTTTTTTTTTTGATTGAACATGCAGAATATTGTTAATATTATTGTACGATAATATACGTATATAAGAAGGCAAATGAAAGTGAAGAATGAGGTGTAGAATACTATATTTATTATTAAATTATTATATATTTTTATATGAATTAAATTATATGAATTGATAAAATTAATTAATTAAATTGAACTGAGGAAAATATGTTGCATTAATATAGCTCGTGTCAAGACGAATTCAACGACGTGCTATAACATAACCTTCGAGCGACCTTGAACCGACATATAAATAACAAACTTCTTACTTTTTTAATGGAACGTTTTTCATTGTAACTCATATATTGCGACCTTGGACAACCTTCATCCATAGGTCATTGTATTCACCTTAAAATACTCTATCCGAATATAAATAAAAAACTAGGCTGTCCCATTTAAGAAAACAAGTTCGACCTTCATACGTTCTCTACGCCTCCGCTTATAAAAAAAATATTGACACCATATTACGCGTCTCTCGAAATCAAACAACTTTCGTCCGACACTTTCTTCTCTATCGTCGAAAACAAGCGAGTTGTTCAGTCGTCCTCCGTATCAAACGTCCCACCCTGTACATAAATAATCGAGGCAGTCGCTTCGAATCGCGCGCGTCACTCGCTGCCGATCATTGTCTATCGCGACGAACATTTTCATGCGAGCATGCCGAACGAGTTCCGCCCGCTGAGGATCACCGAACGGCGGGAAATTTACAGCGACGATCTATTATCGCGGAGAATTGCGGCGCGCGGCGCGCGGACAAGGGCGGAATACAATCGCGGGCCGGGTAATAAATAACGTCTGAAGAAGCTGTTGAAGTGGCTGCGAAGGGAAAATCCCGGCCGCGCTGAATCGCCGGCCCGCGACGAAACAAAGAATATGAAATATCGCGGGGACAATTGTTCGACCGCCAGATTTCTCTGCGGGCATTTTCGCGCGTGCCCTTTGATCAGCGGCAGATTTCTTGAATATTTTCTGCCGCTTTTGTTCCACGCGGGGGACGGGAAAAATCGATTTTAGAGAAACTGTCCTCAGCAGGGTGTCCTAAAATTATCACATTTGATATTCACATTCGAAGCAATTAAACTATTCAATATATTTATAATCTTTTTATTATATTTATTATATTTTATATAATTTTTTTTTATTACGCTATTATATTCCAATAATATATTAATTACAATATTATATTCCAATATTATATTCCAATATTATATTACAGTAATATATTACAGTATTATATTATAGTATTATATTCCAATATTATATTATAGTATTATATTTATTACAATATTATATTGCAATATTATATTCCAATATTATATTCCAATATTATATTACAGTAATATATTACAGTATTATATTATAGTATTATATTCCAATATTATATTATAGTATTATATTTATTACAATATTATATTGCAATATTATATTCCAATATTATATTCCAATATTATATTACAGTAATATATTACAGTATTATATTATAGTATTATATTCCAATATTATATTCCAATATTATATTCCAATATTATATTACAGTAATATATTACAATATTATATTATAGTATTATATCTATTACAATATTATATTGCAATATTATATTACAGTATTATATTACAGTATTACATTACATTACATTACACATTATTATTTTATTATATATAATTTTTGTTACATTTATTACATTTATATATTTATTTAAAATTACGCATTACAGTCATATATTGTATATTAAAAATATTATATATCGTATCGCTGACGACTCATTTTTAAAAAATTACTTTAAAAATAAATGTCTATGCAGCTCCTGCAAAGAATTCGTTAGATTGGTTTCATAAGAAAATAAATGGCGGTTTTTCTTTGTACGGTTATCCCCATAGAGCATTGGGACGCAATGTGATACTTTATGCATCGAATATATCAACGAACGCGTGGCGTTGATCACAATCTCGATCATTTTTCCAAGCTCTCTTTCTCTCTCTCTCTCTGTCGCCTATATCCACACGTCACAGAAGAACTGAACAGAACTGAACAGCTTCTATTATACCAATCAGAGAGCACTTTACAATGGCCGGCCATTTATTCGACTCGCTTTAATAACCATTCATTTCATCCAATACACATAGATCCTGTTATTGCATTCATCACCGATAATCCGCGATTCCATACTGTAACGTATATGACATCAGGATTTTTTTATATATTTATATCGTTCGCGATTATCGAAAGTCGAAGCTTACGAGATGGACATTTTAAACGTTCTTCGTATCTTCGCAGATGATTAAAGACCGCTTGAACTTTTAATTATGTATTATATTGCATTATTTTACGATATTATATTCCAATATTTTATTACAATATTATATTACAGTATTATATTGTAATATTATATTTATTGCAATATTATATTCCAATATTATATTACAGTAATATATTCTAATATTATATTCTAATATTATATTTATTGCAATATTATATTCTAATATTATATTTATTCCAATATTATATTCCAATATTATATTACAGTATTATATTACAGTATTATATTCCAATATTATATTACAGTATTATATTACAATATTATATTACAGTATTATATTATAATATTATATTTCAATATTATATTCTAATATTATATTATAGTATTATATTTATTACAATATTATATTACTGTATTATATTACAGTATTATATTAGAGTATTACATTACAGTATTACATTACATTACAGTATTACATTATGTTACATTACATTACAGTATTACATTATATTACATTACATTACAGTATTACATTATGTTACATTACATTACAGTATTACATTATATTACATTACATTACATTACATTACATTACATTACATTACATCATAATACCTTATAAATTACCCATTTCTATACAAAACCTAAGCGTCAATTAGGCAGAATTCCCCCCAAACCGTCGTCTCGTTAATCGATCCACGAAAACCGCGAATCTTCCCAGACACTTTCCTTCCAACCCGCAACACGGCATCTCGACGAAAGAACGATCGACAAGCACGGTCCACACACCGGGTATCCCCATTTTCCGCGTGAAAATACGGCAACGAAAGGGGTCGGTAACACGTCCTCGCTCCGCGAGACAGCACTTTGTCACACAGGCCCGGTGACAAATAGCGCGCGCCGCGTCGCGCCGCCGAAGGAGCATTTAAATCGCGCGAAAACCAGCCGGCCGGCTCTCGGGGGCGGACTTTTACGAGGCGGCGCGCTAACAATGCCACTTGTTATGCGTATTTTCAGCGGGATCCCGCGCGGTCTGGAATGCCGCCAGAAGCTTGGGGCCCGCCCGGCTGTATTCCGACGGGGCAACAACGTCTGCCGTTTGCATTTACTGCATATTAAGCGGGCACAAGGCGGCGCGCCGCTTGCCAAATGGCCGATGCATCGGGAGATACCTTGGCCACGGTTGATCCGCCGACCGGCGAGATACCATCTAATGGCGTAACTGGAACGCTAATTGCCGTTCGTTACCGAAAATAACCGCGATACCGACGGCCGCGACCGCCGAAACGCCTTCGCGAACGTAATCGTGATATGAAATATAAGCTTTTCCCTATTGGAGCCATTTACTGTGGGGTGACCAATTACCGTGACTTTCGATCGATTTTAGACAGAATTCGTGTATTTATATTTATTGAGAATTGCAAGGGTTTTTAATTTGTTTATTGTCGCTCCAAGTAATAGCATTTATGTGGCGTTAAATTGGGGTATTGGAGCCAGTTACTGTGGGGTGACCAATTACCGTGTATTTCGTTTGATTTTAGACATAATTTATATATTTATATTTATCGAGAAGTGTAAACGAAATAAGATGAAAAAATAAGTTGAAAAGCGAGGGTTTTTAATGTTTTTCTTGTTACTCCAAGTAATAGCAAAATTACAAAAAAAACAGCTTTTTAGCCATCGT